ATTGTTTCTGTAATGATGGATGAAATTCATATTAAATCATATTTAGATTTCAGAGGAGGTAATATTGTTGGCTCTTCTTTTAACATTGAGGATGCAGCAACAAGTGCTTATGTTTTTATGATCCAGAGCTTACTCTCCCAGTATAAAGATGTTGTGCATATTTTACCTGTGAAAACCATAACAGCGGATATATTGCACTTTATACTTAAAAAGATTGTAATAGGATTAGAGATTATAGGATTTTTCGTGGTTTGTGTAGTAAGTGACAATAATTCACTCAATCGTAAAGCTATGCGTTATTTCTCAAATCCACCAAAACTGAGTATCTTTTATCCTCATCCAGTGAAAACAGAAAGACCCTTATTTTATGTAATTGTTGCAGTACATATATTAAAATGTATTTGAAATAACTGGTTGAATCAGAAAACTTAAATTAGTGTTTTCAATACCCAGATTTTGAGACATTTGAAAATAATGTTATTATGAAAACTGCATCCTTTTATACTCTCATAAAACTATATGAAGCTGAAAAGAATAATTTAGTTACATTTAATCGCTCTTTGACTTTTAAATCTCTTGACCCATCGAATTTAGAGAGGCAGAATGTCAAACTGGCACTGCAAGTTTTTAATGAACATGTAGTGAATGCTCTAGTAGAACTAGAAAAAAAAAAGAATCTGCAATTTGCCAAAGAAACCGGAAATTTTATTAAAATAATTCATATTTGGTGGTGCATTAAAAATGTAAAAAGTCCCCATAAAGGAATACGAGTAAGAAATGAAAATAGGGAATCCATTAACTAATTTGCCTGACGATGAAAACGTAAAGTTCTCAAGTAAATTTTTGAATTGGCTGGATGTTTGGAAAAGCATGGGATGCACTACAGGGAATTTTACGAAAGAAACTCATCATGCTCTTACTCACACAACTCATGCTTTGTTGGAAATGAAGGAATATTGTATCAAAGAGCTGAAAATGAAATAGTTTCTCTGTGGAAAAATACAAACTGATTCTTTAGAAGAGAGATTCGGAAAGAATAGATTTTTAGCCGGATCGCAATATCATGTCTCAGTGAGGCAAATATTTGAATGTGAGTCCAAACTCAGATTACAAAACACTTTTTCATTGAGATCTGCAACTTTTGGTCAAATTACTATTGATGAATTTAATGCTGTATCTTCATTTGAAAAGGAAGATGAAGTAATTAATTACTTGAATATTGATGTAACTAATGAAGATATTTTAGGCATCGAAAGTGTAATACCAGTTTTCACATACCTTGCAGGATATTGTGTTTATGCCATATGCAAAAAACAGAAGTGTTCATCATATATGTCACAGTTTTCAATTGATAAAGAACTTATATGCGAAGATTCATATCGCTTAATTTCAAGTATGGATATAGGATGTTTAAAGTATCCTCTTTGTGAATATTATTGTGGATTGCTATATAGAAGTTCAAAAACTTCTTTCTGAGAAATACGAAAATGAATTTTTAAAAGTTCAAAATCAACGAAATTTGGCAGTGACTCTTGCATTTTTTATTATAAATAGGCTAGAATTATTTAATTCAATTGACATATGTGAGTTAGGTCATACTGCTGAGTATTGTGTGAAACAAATTTTGTGAGTGGGCATAAACACTTTACTTAAGAATTACTGTTGTAAAAAAATGATAACTACAGAAAACCCTGTTTAAAAAGAAAACTACAAACACTACAGAAAGCAAATATCTAAAATAAGGTATTTATATTTTAGAAAACATTCCATTGCATTTAAAAAATATCAGTTATTTTATTGCATATTTATTTGTAAACTTTTTGTTGGCTTTTATAAATTGTAATTTTTCATTCATTATGATTTAAGGGATGAGTTTATGTTTACATTTGACATCTGAAGCATCATCCCTTGTATTAATTACTAAGACTAGTAATGTAAAAATTGTCAGCAAAATTTATGATTATTTATTTTAATTGGAAACTAATTTTATATGAAATAACTGTCCTAAGAGGCTAAAAGCTTAACACTTATTTCATTACATAATATAATATGTAGAACATCAAATGCTAAGTAAATTTGATTCTTGACAGAGTACTGTATTCTTAAATTTAAATATCAATACTTTTTGCAAATCATTAAATATCATTTTATCATGATGAAACTTAAATGCATATGTTTAACTAATATAGCTTTTGTTCACTTTTATATATATTATTATCATGCAATCAGTTTGTTTAAAATTTATTACGCAATATAAATCTTTCTGAGAATGCTAGAAAAGTTTCTAAAGTAATGTATGTAAGATTTATATTAAGGTAATTAAATTGCGAAACTGCAATCTGAAATTTTAAAAATGTACAGTTATTGAAGAAGCAGTAGTAATTGAATTCATATGTAGACATACTTGTTTTCATTGTTATTTCAATTCAATGCAATTTTAAAAACAATTTTTTCTAATTATCTTTTGAATTACAATCTTTAAGTTGAGTACATGGCACCACCAAAAAGATATGTAAGGTAAGTTTTAAAAAAAATGCTTACATTATACAAAAAAAGTTTTGAACATGATGTTGGGACTTATATTTTCTTTTCATGTGGATATTAATAGAAAAGATATTTTCAGAACAGAGGTAACGCTTATAGTTAAATAGGTATAATGTAAATATATTTCAGCAAGGTATTTTCAGTTTCTAAAAATTTTTTAAGTATTTCATATATTTTAAAAATATTTTTAAAAAAAATTGTGTATAAGTTTATTTAAAAAACTTTTTTCCTGTCTTATTTGGAATTTTAATATTGATAGTCTTCAGAGCTATGTAATAAACATTATCTCAATTAAACTACAAATTCTGTCGAATAATTATTATGTAGCATTAAGAGGGGAAAAACGTTAACTGTACTACAGATTAACAACAATGTAAGTATGAAAAATAATTTTGAAGATAGACTATTTAGTAATTTATTACATTCAGAAAATTTTTCTGACTGATATAAGGCATTTAAATGTTAGTCTAAATATTAAGTAGTCTCTTGCATTCGTTTGATGTTTTATAATCCTGCTACATTAATATGATAGATATAATAAAAAATATGCAATGATTATAGATTGAGAGAGATAATATGTGTTCCCACTGGCAAACATTTTGTTAAAGTAGTGGGTGAAACAAAAAATTTGATGCGGTGGTGAGAATGAACGAAAGACACAAAGACAATACAGAAACATCAAAATAAAAATTTTTGCTACTTGAATTTTAAAACTAATTTTGCCTTCAAAGAAATGATTTGCTTTTAAAAGCACCACACAATTCTCAAATAATTTTGTTTTGAAAATAAATACCAACAAAAGAAAATGAAAATATTTCATATTCGTATAAGCTTTGTAAAAACTTATATTGCCGCTTGTAATTTTGTTGTAGACTGATTTTATAGTATGAGATACCAATTTCATAGAATAGGTTTAGAAAACGGGTGTTTAGCAAGAAAGCTAAACTGCACGAAGACCGGTCCCCTAGCAGTGACGTAGTAACTCAGCGCGCAGACCTTATCTATCTCGATGGTGACGCCTCCATGGATCTCGCCTTTTGCTTGTTTCGTCTATTGTTTAAATATGTGATACACGTACGTAAAATTGCTGGGCGCTTATAGCACTCATAGTGTTGTATAAACCAAGAAGAAACGTTTTACAAAGAATCTGTCTTACGTCCTTTTCAAAGAATCTGTATTGCGCCAGCTACGTTATTATTTCATCTACAAAGATATGCAGTGCTGAACACTTCTTGTTCGATCACCATTCAAAGCTGAAACAAAGGAGCCGAGTTTATAATACCTCAGCTACCAAATACGCAGTCACTTTTTGACTCTTCTCTTGAGTACCTAACGCTAGTCTCGTCGCTTTGTTACTTTCGTCTATTGTTTAAGGGTACTCATACACTTTAAAACCCATAAGATCTTCGAATATGTGACTGTTGCAAGAATTAGGATAACTTACTTATTTAAAAAGCAATTACTTCCAACTTTTTACAGCTGACTACATAATATAGCTGCTTTCTGAAACAATAATCACAAAGTTTGTGTTGCCACAAATACTTTTATAATTTATCCGCATTGTGAAAAAATTTCCGGCATGTTTCCACCTTGCGTGCACAGTTTAAAACATTCTGTTGCATAATTTAATTCCATATTTAATGTATAGCTTTTATAACATTTGGAAACCACTGTGAACCAAAAGTTCTAAGAATTTCATGTTAAATTTTTATTTTATTTGGAGTTGAGTTTATAAAGTGTATTTTATTAAAAAAAATCTGTAATGTTTTCTTACATAAAATTTTTTATTATTAAAACATTCATCAGATTTATGGTTCAGTTAGAAAAAGCCCATATAAAGAATTCCATCCAATTTCAAGTATGTACCATTAGCCATTTTTAAAATATCATGCGCGCAAGGTGGAAACGTGACAAAATATTTTGTCACAAAGCGGATTAAATTACAAAAATATTTGTGGCAACACAAACCTTCTGGTTACAAGTTTCCAAAGCAGCTATATTATGTAGTCAGCTGTAAAAAGTTGGAAGTAATTGCATTTAAAATAAATAAAACATCCTAATTCTTCCAACAGTCACATATTCGAAGATCAAAAGGGGTTTAACGTGTATGAGCCGCCTTAAATATGGGATACACGTATGCAAAACTGTTGAGCGCTTATAACACTCATAGTGTTGTGTAAGCCAAGAAGGGATATCTCACAATATGTCTAAGAAATTATTCGACCAAAAAAAAGTCTGCGATGTGTATCACTATTCCGACCTTGACTAAATATTTAATGGGTGCCTTTTCTCATTCAGAACTAAATCATCATAGGTATACATTTATTTTACCAAAACATGATTACAAGCTCACTTCGCACTAATAACTTGGCGCACAAATTTCATGGCAAGCTACCTGTAAATCATTAAAATACATTAAAGACTTTGTGTTTCAAATTCAAATTAGCATTCTTTACCTTATGGCCACAATGTTTCAAAAGTAAGTTGTTTTCCTCATCCCGAATTTCCACATAATCGTATAAGCAGTCCTGTTCTTGTTCCAAATCCGAGGTCTGAAATGTAATACGGATCATTCTAGAATTCACTGACGTTACAGTCCAGGTGCAGTTCAAGTTATTATCATAATTTTGAAGTCCATAATTAGGGTGGGAATAAATAAAAGCCGGCTGAGCTGCAGCAGTCAGTTGTCCTCCGCATACTGGAAGTAAGCAAGTTGATTGTAATACATTAAATTTACATTCACACAAAATAAAAATGAAAAGGTGTCGCGACTATTGCGAATTTATAATGCTATATTTGAACTTTTCTATCTGAATTGTACAAAAAATTGAATAATATGATTATATATATCATTGTGCTATAATCACAGAGCCGAAAATAAAAATTGTGCATAACAATTGTTTTTCTGACTTCTAATATTTTTTAAGCAGCATTTAATAGAGAAGCCATTCCAGACGCTTTTCTGAAAGAAAAGGTGGTCAAAGTACTTCGAAATTTCTCTTTAAAATGAGAAAAATTTGCATTTGGCACGTAAATTAAATATTATTCTTATTAAGAAGCAGAACTAAATTATTTGAAGTAAAAACATAAAATTTGACCTCCTAAAATAGCGCCTTAAAACTAACCGCTTCGTCATCCGTAACGCATCTAGAGCGTTCAAGTGAAACTTCTGCAGAGCCGCCGTAACGCGCTACAAGCGTTCGTCTACATTTTAAAACTTTTAAACGCTTAAAAAGCTTTCTAAATGTTTACTTGTTTGAGTTTTTGATTTTGTTTGTTCTAATACTTCCTAGAAGGCAGCACTTATCAGGCATTCTATTTCTAATTGAATTTGCCCCGGGTTTCATGAATATTCGCGCCATTTTACATAAGATACAAGACAGTGAGAGATGGCTTCAACGTCTACTCAGCCGAAAAAAGAAAAAAAAAAAAAAAAGGAGCAGAAAAAAAAAAAAAAAAAAATTGAGGTTGTGGAATTGGAAAAAGACAAGAAGGATATACGTTTGATGAGTACAGTCTATAATAACTCGATGATTGATGTTGGAACACGGGAAAGAACTGTAAAAAAACCAATAATTGTAAGAGATTGGAGGAGTGGACCGTCTGCAACAGATGTTATCAAATTATCCTGCTGTTAGAAATAAGCAGAGACATTATTGTCCATTATGCTTTATTTCCTTATAGTTTTAATTAATATTTATTGGCATTCATCCACTATGAAAGTTATGTATGGAAAGTTATGATGTACAGAGAAAACAACATTACACGCTACGAAAAAGAGACGGCCGCTGGGGAGAAATTTTCGCGGACAGGCAAGGAAGGCGAAAAGGTTAAATTAACGAATAATATGTAATTCACTAATTTCCAAACCTTGAGCACAGGATACAAATTCTGATCTCCGAAAAGCACACTTCAATTTCATTGATTAAATCTCAATACGGTTCTAGAAAGAAATATATAATAATTATATGATATGACTAATTAGGTTTTACTCTCCCCATGTATGAAATTAGGCATGGATGAGTTGTACGAATTACACGAAATCTTTGGATAAATTAAATTAACTGTTGATCGAAAACTTTGAAAGGCAGATCTGATCATGTTTGGATTAGAAGAATCATGCCTCAAAGAAGAGGACTGGATTAGTCTCGCTGTTGGTGGTTACTCCGTACTCTGAAGCAGGGTAATCCATGAAATTATTGCTGTTTCTCTTGACGTTGACCCCTCTTTGGAAACAATTTCAAGCAAGTGAGGCAGTTGCCCAAACACCTGCTCATGGTCATCCAAGGAAGGATAACCATATCACTTGCTAACTAACAGCAATTGAGCAACTACCATATAAATTCAAAACTTATAGTTATTATAAGAACAGGTGGATTCATATATAAAACTAATATATGGCGAAGATTGCATGAGACAAGAAAGTAAATCTTGTTGCCAAATGTTAATGCTCCTTTAAGCGTCAGTTCCGAAGGACGTGACAGATGGTGTCATAAGGGTGCAAACTGGGAAGCTATAGTATTTTCCAGGGTGCAGTTGAAGAATGAATCAAGCCTTTGTTGGAATTCGCCAATAAACGAATTAGGATTTGAAAAGAAAACACATTAATCAGACTCAGTATTGTCAATAAATGCAAGCCTTCAGGTGTTAGCTAAATATTCTTTGAACTATCGCACCGTCTTACTCGTCTTTACAGATGGTAATGTGACAGCTAACAAGTACCGAGGTGATGCTTTTGATCGATTCGTGAGACTGCAAGCAGTTAGTTCAGCATTGATTATTATATCAATATATTTATGATAATGCACATCCACATAGCGAAAGCCAGGTGCATCAGCCGAGCTCAATACCATCGAAGTTTAAAGAAATCTCTGAACATCCTATCTCTGCGCATGTCACACCTCCAACTACTCACAAGCTGAAAACCGCTTTTATACGAGGAATGAGAATTATTATTCTTTGATATGCCTGATGACTTACTTCAGGATACGAAATGTAGTTGCAGTTGCAGATCTTGTATGTTGCAGTTGTAGATCTTGAACATCCTATCTCTGCGCATGTCACACCTCCTGTCTCAGGGAAATAAGCGTAATCTAGTTCCTTGTATGCAGATCTTGTATGAATGTCGAAGGTAGTAACATGTTTTATGAAGATGGCATTCGCGTCTCCAAAGCTCACAAATTACTTTGTGCGTGTACAAAATATGATATACCTCTATAAATGTTTATAAATATATTTTTCCTATAATGTTTAAATTAGGAATGCGTAAATGAGTAGCTTAACTTGCGAAGATTTACTTAGATTGACTAACAGTTAATTTTTAGTTAAAGCCACTTTCCTTTTAAAACTCATTTTCACCGACACTTTCCTGCCTGTGAGAAAGGTAATTTCTCATACCATGCAGTTCATCATCATCTCAACCTTAATTGTCACGTTACAACACCACCTAATGGTGTTCACCACTACACTGCCAGAATGCTAATCAGACAGTGCGCATGTGTTAAAATTAAGGTGGAAGGAAGTGCTATTTAAGTAAAGCTTTCGAAAGGTGATTTTAGAGCATATTATGCCTGCTTGAAAGCTATGTTGTTACTTCGAATTACTAGGGATTTGATTCTGTGACACTGAGTGCTTCTAGCCATTAAGCTTGTTTCCGCCGGCTACTACGAGTCAGAGCCTTTCTGCGCGTTAATTTATACTGTGAGCCTGTAGGCTAATTCAAATACATTTTATTTTATGTTTAAAACTACCTGTTTGAGTTTATCTAGAAATGTTGGCTATATATAACCCCAAGTGTTGCCACCTATTCAACTATATGTTATTGAATATAGGGTCCTTTACACCCTTCTTCTGACTTTTTTATTGTATAAGACATGAGAGTAATTCTTCATACAATCTTTTTAGAGTTCATGTTTTCGTTAGTTTATGTTACCTAAAAATAGAAGACTCTATAACCTTCATGTTAAGTTTTGAATCTTTGCTGTCGTTGAGGCATTGCTGAAATAAAATAAATACAGATGAAAAAATTTATTTTCTGTTTCTTGAATGCTGTCATGCACCTTAGAAATTTCATTTTCCATCCCAAATTGAAAAAGAATCAATTATAATTACACGGACAAGAATAAAATGTTTCCTTAAATAATAAATATAACAAATATTATTATGACATACTGATTTGTAGATGTTTCTTTAACCTTCCAGCACGCTCTTACAATAAGTACGCGCGCGTCGCATTTTTTACGACATCCGTTATTTTACCGTTTTGGGCACTAAAAACACGACAGTGTGACACGACATGAGTGAATATTCTTAATAAATTTGTTAAAAAATAAAATATTAATCTTATTATTGCAAAATACAAATGATATTACATTCAAATATTAGTAAATTATTTTTAAGTTCTTATGATAGTAAGATGGAAATGCAATGATTTATTTTATTATAGAAAATTTTCAGTTTATTATTTGATAATTATATTTTAAAATCGAAGCTAATTTTAATACTCATCAGAGACAAGTATAGACAATAAAAAAGGAAAACACCTTGGTAGGAAAAAAAGTAAGTTGTAGGGTTTATATTTATTTTAACTAACATTTATTTTAAGTTTAAACTATCTTTCCTGTCAAGCCTTACTTTCCCCTGGAACTGCCAATGCCAGAATATGTAAATTTGAGTAGAACGCGCAAGGATTCAAATTATCAGCGGAAGTATTCTGATTTAAATAGAAGGAAACGAGTTCGGTGTGATTTTCTTACTTAGCGAGCGCGGAGGTAGTTAGCGAGAATTGAAGAACCCCGCGTTGCGGCCTATGTGCTTGGCGGGAAGTAGTGGTAATCGTTCCAGTGAGCTTCAAGTCTGCTGAATTAGCAGCGGTATTGTAAAACGCGGTGAGTTAGTTATTTTAGAGAGCCTCGTAGTTAGAATCTTGTCTTTACTTTCTTTTCAGGTTATTATTTTTATTTGACTGCCAAGTTGGCACAGTCTGTGAAGCGTCAAGAGCACGCAATTGTAATTTATTACGTTGAATAAAAAGGGACTTAAACCCTTCACAAGGCTCTATCTTTTATACAAGTTTTCACAGTCACCTCTTGGTTGCGTGCAAGTTGGAGGCGCGCAACGTTATATTGGCGCCCGAACAATTATCGAACTGAAATGGCCGAAAACTGGATGGAAGCCGCTGGACAACACCAAGAAATGACAACGCAGTTAGAAGGATTTGGATACCTGGTCCAGACTTTGAGAGCATCAATCAAGCCAAACGTCCATTTCGACGGAAAAAATTCGGTGGCGGTATTTTTAGAAGGTCTAGAAAAAAACCACTTTCAGCTCTACCCTGTGCCTGAAAGACAAAAAGTTGCCATCGCCACATCAGCACTAAGAGGACAGGCCGCGCTATGGTGGAAAAAACATAGGAAAATTTTTACTAGGTGAATTTGGAAGCCCGACGTATACATTTGAAAATTTCAAAAAATCGTTAGTAAAGGCCTTCCCCATAGTGAAAGATCGCGCACGGCTGGAAGCCGAACTATATAGTTTCTATCAACGGGATACAGCAGAATTGACGGACTTTATTCTACGAAAAATCAAGCTAACGGATATGCTGTATGGGAAAGAAACCCGATGCGGAGATTATTGAAATAATATTACCAAGATTGTTACCCGCTGTTCCAAG